TTTAGCTTAGGGCCCAAATCTACGATGATAATAGCAGTGTCCGTCAGAGGTTGGGCCTGGCAAAATTTATTTTCTTGGTCAGAGCGCTCACCTGTTCAGTTAGTTCGACCATGGTTTTCTCTAAAGCTCTCATTGATAGATAAAACTGGAAGGCTGGCACTGCGTATGTACTCGTCGGCTTTTTTTCCTAGTTGCTCAAGGTCCCCATCAAGCACGGGTATAACCCTTCGAACTTCGGGTGGTAAGCGGTCGAGCCATAGGTTTATTAGTACCCGTGAGCTATTTTTTTTCATGGCCAAAGTTTGCATCCGGTGGGGCAATTGAGTGGGTTTCAGATCGCCCAGAGTCATTTTCATCAGCCGGCGAATTTTTTCGTCAGAATTGATGCCATATTTATCCAAATGGCCGGTTTTCAGGTCCTCGTAAGCCGTACCTTGAGCTGGGTTTCCCAATAAGTCACAGATTTTTAAAAATCTCGCTCTTTAAGCTGGTCACAATGTGGTGAATCTTACAATCGTCTGATTTTATCCTTGCTTGACGGAACTGTGCTTCAAGTCACAGGAACCATAGCTCTGGTTCGGTGCACTAAAATTCCGGCATCTTCATACCTACACGGGCGATAATAGATTGGTCGTCGGTCGCCATAGCGTCGTCGTTGGCCGTGTAACATAAAAGATTCTATGTGCGCGAAAGGCACTGAACACTAGATGACTGGTCACTGTAAACAAGATCGTTCCAACGTTCTATCGTTCACGAATGTGGCCTTTTGCGGCGGCAAATAAAGCGCACTTGTCTCATTACCTGTTTATTTACATAGAAATCTCAAAAAAGTTGAAAATAGATGGGATAATGAAAAAAGGTCGTTGGTCGTTCGTTTAGTTGTTGAGGCAGAAGAATGGACTGACTTGGCGCCAAACGTCATACTTGCGTCAACGATCAGCTGTCTGGGGCCTGCCAGTCAACAGCCGGTGTTGCCGGTACCGTAGTCAACTGTTCTAGGGCGGAGAGCAGCTGGATTCCACCACAATTTGAATAATTGGATTAAAATTTCAATTTTGAAAATATTTGTTTTTTCCATGTTAGCGTTTTTCAAAGATAATTTTTATACAGTTGTAAACTCCATCACCATCCTCGTTTGCAAATTCTATATTTCCTTCATACAAATTAACTTCCCCTATGTTAATGAAAAGTTGTATAATACAACTGCAGCAGTAATTATTTTGTTACCAAAATCAGAATCAGAAATATCCAAAAATTTTAGGCGTCTAAATTTGTTTTTATGAATTCCAAAGGCCCTTTCAATGATTGATCTTATGCAAATTCATTTCACATTATAATTTACTTGAGCAGAGGTCAAATGCCCTGTGTTTATAAAATGGAGCATTAGGTTCATCATTAGAAGGTATGCTGTATCTCCAATAAGGTGTAAATTAGCTGGCAGCAATGGATTTTCATTATTTAAATGTTCATGTTACTATTACATGAAACTCTAGCATCATGCATTCTTCCAGGCCAACCAATGTGACAGTCTATGAATTTACCCATATGATAACAAGTTCCTACAATCAAGCAAATAGATAAAAATAGAATTACTTTTATAAATATTACTAACCTTGTAAAATTATCGAGTGAAATTCCTTTCTATTATAAAAATTGTGTTGCTTTCCCTGTGATTGTTTAATAGGGATGTGACAGCTGTGTATAGCACCCACAACTCCAGGAAATCCTCCAGATCTCTGCTGAAATGCCTGAAACGTTTGCGCTTAAAACTCCACTTTTTATGTTCAAAGAATACTCACATTTGTTGGAAGTGTACTCATCTGCCCGAGGAAATCTGACATAATCTCTTATTAAGCCAGGTAGAGGACATACAATATCTGTAAACATTTTGTGAGCGGTACTTTTTCCAAAATCGAATCGATCTCCAACGAACAGAAAACTTTCAGGTTTTGAAATCGTCCATATAGTGAAAATTACTTTTATTCAACATTTCTGCCAGTAGTTGTGCAATGAACAAACATTCAGACAGAGCAATATACTCAGCCTCTGCATTGACAGAGAAACTGTTGTTTGTTTTGTACTCTTCCAACAAACAAAATTATTGAACATTTTAATCCCAAAACCAGATATACTCCTCCTGTCATTGACATTGTTAGCAAAGTCAGCATCAACATAGGCTGAAACAGTTCCACCGTTAAAACTATGCTTTGATTTTACGTACCTTAGCCCATAGTTCTCTGTAAGTTTCAAATATCTCAAAATACCTTTTAAGTATTTCCAATGCTCATCGTTGTAACAGTTCTGAAACTGGCTAAAGTATGTAACTGCAAAACATAGATCAGGTCTACTTCCCAACATGACATACATTAAATTTCCAATCAGTTCCCTATAAGGTAAATTCTCATTACAAGTACTACTCTTGGGTAAACTAATTTTTGGTTGAACTGGAATACTTGATACCTTGCAATCAAACATATTAAATCTTTTTAATATCTTTTGAATTAGTTCCTTCTGATTCATGAACAAAGAATTGTCACTTTTATATATAGTCATACCAAGAAACTTTAAAACAACATTATTGGTCACATTAGGTGTTAAATCTTTCATTTCAAATTTGGATATCAATTTATTTTTATAATCATGCATTTTCAGTAAGGATTTGGAAAATAAAATCAGATCATCAACATGAAATATTAAATAAACATCACTTTCAAAGTAAAGACAAGGGTCTGATTTTGATCTTTCAAATTCAATTTCAATTAAATGTAAATGTAATTTTTCATACCAACATTTTGGTGCCTGTCGAAGTCCATACAATGCTTTTTTCCATTTACAGACACGGTTGATATCATTAACTTCAAGTCCATCCGGTATCTTCATGTACACTTCGTCTTTCAGTTCACCATTTAAAAACGCGCACTTAACATCCATTTGGTTCATGTACAGATTTTCTTCCTCACTTAATGAGAACAATAACAGAATTGTCAACATCCGGACCACTGGTGCATACACATCATCGTCCACATTATTTTGCTTAAAGCCTCGAGCCACTAATCTTGCCTTTTTCACCACTCTGCCTTCTATTTCCTTTTCCTTGAAAATCCACTTGGAGTCTATTACATTTCCATGATCTGGAGTTTCCACTATTTCCCACGTTTTATTTTCTTCCAATGTGCCCAGTTCAGTCTCTATCGCTTCCTTCCAAACGTTTCCAAGAGAAATTGCTTCATAATAAGTCTGAGGAATATCAGAGTATAAGTTTCCATCTGAGAGTGCAGTCATTAGGCTTGTTATATAAGACCAAAAGGTTGTTATAATAATGTCTCCTTTGGAGCAGTAATTAATCAGGCAGACAAGAATGTCCGGCTAGCCTGTTAACCCAGGGGTGGTTCTTTGTATATCAGTTTGTTGGATGCCTGGGTGCCATCAAGTTTTCCTTAAAACTTGAAAAAGAGTTGAAATACAATGTCGTTACTGGTGATGGTTTCAAATAAATAAAACACAATGGAGCGATTTAATATGCAACGATAAGTCTGTATTTAAATATTGTAAACAATTGAGTAGGTAATACCTAAATATTATTCACGAATGAATAAATTGAATAATAGGTATTGTAAATAAATTGAGTAATAAATGTCCAAGTAATTATTGAGAAAAACTAAAGTCCAAAATCTACAAGTAGTATGAAACGGTGGAGTAATTCTCCCTAGCAATGGTTTAGTTATTTACTCCCTGAATACCTATTAAGCTTGCTTACATGGACACACCAAAAGAGAAAACTGGCCAAGTTAAATTCCGAATTCAAATCAAATACCTATGTAGTAGCCTAAGCAAATCGAGGTTGTCACAAATGACTATTATATTGTGAACCTATAATAATATAACCTATAATATATACCCTTAGCAATATAGGTCGACCTAGGCGCTTTACAATATGGGGATGTAAAAAAAAAGGAAAAAAGAAATAACAAAGCAAAATATTTCAAAAACTTAAATCTAAACTTAGCTGTTGTCTCTTCGGTTCCTTGTTGGCTGACTAAATAAACTGGGACAATTATCCCACAACCATAGATTGTCCGCAACTCAACGTTAGTGGCTACTAAAGGCCAATGTTGTCCCGCAAGTTGACAGTTTCAAAGTTTAGGTAACAGCTGGGTTGGCAGCAAGGGTACAGGTTAGACCCAAGGTAAAACCCACAAGATAAAACCCTAAAGAAAGGAAAAACCCAGAATTACCATCAAGCATAAATTGCATATGAAAATTCCCTCCGCTTTGAAAAATAAATCTAAAGCTATGGATTAAATCATTCAAAAAAAAACCCTGTTTAAAATTCCATAACTACTTGAGCAAATAAAAAAAAAAGACGTTTAAGTTTCTTCAAAATTTAATAAAAAAAACTTACAATATTGGAAACACAAATTATGATCTGCTTTAGTCATATGTGGAACAATTAATAAACAATTATTCAGTTCAGTTCACAGTACCCAACCCTGAGAAATCTATATCAATTTGATGCCCTGGATGAGGAACAAAAAATCATGATAACTAAAACATAATTACCTCTAAACTATGAGGGTTTCCACCAATACCAATTCGGCAATGCCGCCACTGGCTCTAACGTCACCAAATGCTTGTTAAGTTCCGCAATGGAACGAAAGAATTCTAAAATAAATTTTGAAATGCCCACGTGAATTTTCACAACACGTGCCATAGAGAAAAATTGCGACTTACCAGCTCCGATCCTAATGAAGCTTCTCAGACGACGAAAAACTCGACAATCCCAAAAAGGCAATGAGTCGTTAACTAATTACATCAATAACGGACTCAAATGAGTAATATAATGGCTCCAAAATATCCCAAAAAGGCAAACTTCAATTAGAAATTAAAAGTTAAAAGGTCAGAATCGAAAAAGAAGATGATTTGCAATTTTCCCTAGAATTAGAATTGGCACTCAATGACACATTGACATTTCGGTGACAAAATAGATGACAGCCAAACGCATGACGAACTTGATCCCATCCAGAACATCGAATCGGCCAGTCCGATTCCGATCAATAACCCGAGTACTCACTCTGGTCAACTATGCTCCAGAGCGACCGATGACCTGGCCTAGTGTAGTTCTGCGAACCACCGAATGCTACCGACAAAACGAAAAGAAATCCATAGATAAGAAGAAAAAGCATATGTGAAATTCATCAGCCGGTCAGAGCGTGAGGTTATGCTAAAAGTCAGATACAGAAAGTAAACAAACAGTCGATATTTTGAATTGACTAATTCCACCTAATAATAAATTGATAAGGAGTCAAACTACTTAATTATCCTGATTATGGCCTCAAAAACAAACCGTAACAGTGTGGCGGCCGCGAAATTGAATTTCGCGGACGGTTGCATGAAAAAAAATACATATTAAATAATATTCAAAAATAAAAAATTGTGAAAAATTGCAGATGATGCTTAAGGAATAATGGACTTCAATTTGAGTACATATTTACAATAATAATTAGTTTCTAAGTCATTATTTTCGATATTGTTCATAATTAGATAATTCTAAGTATTCTTAATAAAAGAAAAAGAGTACTTGTTAGACCGCCTTTGTTACAAATAACGAATTGCAGGGCCGAAAGGTAAAATTTTGGTAAAAATCACTGATGATCAGCTTTAAAAGCAGAAACGTCGGCCAATCATACTTAAGAGGTATATCGTTAAAAAGGGAATAAAGGGAGCTTCCTAAAAATTACATAAAAATATCAGGTCCGAATTTAAAAAAATGAAGTTGATGATGGTAGCTCGATCACGAAACTTCGGATTTGAAATTTGAAGATGCCATGTTGTAAAGCGATAAAAATTATAAAACTTTCAAATTTAAATTGTGTCCCGAAAATCAATATGTATTCCAAAACTTCATTTTGATATGCCTTTCATTAAAAAATACGTGGATGATTTAATCTGTGCAATCCCACGTGACCAAATTACAGAACTAATCTCAACATTTAACGGTTATGATCCTAATATTCAATTCACAATTGAAACTGAAAATAATCAAAGTGTATCATTCCTAGATACTCTAGTGATAAGAAATGATCAAAATAAAATCTAACTTGATTGGTATTCTAAACCAACAAGCTCAGGAAGATATATCAACTTCAATTCCTACCATACAACAAAAATGAAAATAAATGTTATATTAGGATTACGCCGAAGAATTGAGAAAATTTCCCACCCTGAATTTAGAGAAAATAACTTTAAAAAACTTTATAATATAATGGAAGATAACTCTTATCCAGATGCTTTTCTCAAAAAATATTTATATAATACGTCATTAATAACAAATAATTCTACTGAAAATAATCAACAAAATAATAATAACATTATAATAAATACTAATGCCCCTGAGACTCAAAAGAAAACATATTATTTTGCATTACCTTATATTAAAAATGTCTCACAAAAAATAAGTAAAATATTAGAAATTATTCCAGATATAAAAATTGCAAATAAACATGTAAATAAAATAGGAAATCTATACTCTAAAGTCAAAGACAAAGATGAAACTTTAAAACAATCTTCAGTCGTTTATAAAATTCCTTGTGAGCATTGTAATCAAGTCTATATCGGTCAAACATCAACAGTATTAAAAGATAGAATAACTCGACACAAAAGTGATTGTAGACGAACTATTCTTTCTTGCGCTCTTTCAGAACACTCAACTAAAGAAGGACATTATTTTGATTTTGAAAATTCAGAAGTGATAATTCAGGAACAAAATTTAAATAAACGTTTGTTTTTAGAAATGGTAGCGATCTCTGAAGAACCTATATGCCTAAATAAAAGAAAGGACATTCAAGATCTTAGCAGTATATATTCGAACTTACTAACATCTAGGTAATTAAATTTATTTCTCAACGGGTCTTGTCATACCATGCAAAATCAATGTCTATCAGAAACTAGTTATTACATCCTTCAAATTTCATTTTACAAATTCTTTTACTCTCTTCCTTTTTCTTATACCAATTATTATATACCAATTATTTTTCCATATTTTTAAACATTTTATATACTGTTTAGTTTGATAGTAATAACTAATAACAATTTTCCGGCAATTTGAAAGCTTTTCAAATGAAAATTCTCACTTTGCAAGTAAGTTATATTATAATCTTTATGTCCTACTCATAGTTTTGATTGTTACACATAATAAGACTTATACAGGGTGTCACGAAAGGTTTGTTACAAACTTCTAGGGATGGTAGATCTCGTCAAAATAAAACTTTTTTCTTAATAAACATATGTCCGGAAATGCTTCATTTTCCAGATATACAGGGTGGCTCAAATTTGAGCCTCATCATTGGGATCTCGGTAACCGTAAGAGATACGGGGTCGGTTAAACTACGGCAAAGTTGCGCAATTTTACGACCAATAGAATACCGTTTTGAAACTAGAAAGATTCCGAATACTTCCGGAGATATTCCGGACCTGCTTTTTTTGCTGTGGTATTGAAAAATTATAAACAGTATCGGTTTTAGGATGCGCAAAGATGACAAAATCGCAAATAAAAATCCACGTCCGTATTTAAAAAAAGGAAGTTGAGGATGGCCGCCTGAAGACGAAACGTCGAATTTTAAATTTAGTAGCACCATTTTCTAATGGAGAATAAGTGATAATGATGAAGTGACATTTATTTCAAAATTGCTTTTCAAATAAGCCCGGGAAAAAATAAAAACGATTTTACAAAATTTTGGTTTTTTCCGAATATCTCCGGAAGTATTCGGAATCTTTCTAGTTTCAAAACGGTATTCTATTGGTCATAAAATTGCGCAACTTTGCCGTAATTTAACCGACCCCGTATCTCTCACGGTTACCGAGATCCCAATGATGAGGCTCAAATTTGGGCCACCCTGTATATCTGGAAAACGAACCATTTCCGGACACATGTTTATCAAGAAAAAAGTTTTATCTTTACGAGATCTACCATCCCTAGAAGTTTGTAACAAACCTTTCGTGACACCCTGTATATTGTTGTAGCCCTGAAGAAGGCAATAAATAATTGCCGAAAGCTCGGCTTAGAGGAAAAAGAGAGTTTTCTTCCTTAGCCCTTCACAGCGACCGATACCCCAAGAAACTCCCATTGTTTATACATTCTACGGTTAAGATACTCTGCAAATATATATATATATATATATATATATATATATATATATATATATATATAGTTAGAGGGTAGTCTTGACTAGTTAACGAAACAAAGTTATTAATTTCTTGGGGTATCAGCCTATTTCTTCGGGACTAGTTCAATAAAAAACTCTTTTCTGCTACGCCAAGCTTTCGAAAATGTTTATTTTCTTTCTCAAGGCTACAATTTGAAAATAAGATGTTAGATAATAATAGGCAATACTGAATTAAGGGAATATTTACCCTGTGTGCAAAGTGAGTCAATCACATAATGGACTTTTGACTACCTTTGCCAACATTGGAGACATCCTTCCACTTATTGGTCACAATAAATATATGTTAAGTTGTTCAAACAAACACAACATTAATTAGAATTATAAAATATTAGAGAGATTACATTCTTAATTCTATTTTATTTCGGGACGTTTCTTCCCTTTCACGTGCGAAACAAAATGGAGAGCACCTAAGACAAAAATTCAAAAAACCTATTTCCTGTTACCATGAGGAATGTCATATTCGGCTATGCCACCTGTCGGAATAACATTGAAAGGTTACTGTTGTACCTATTGTTGCTAAATTATTATAGCTTTTCATTGATAGATGGCGTATCGATTGTTGTTAATAAAGTGTTGAAATTTGCTCGAAGATGGAGTGGGTGTCCCAATTGAATGATCAGTGCATTTTGGCGACTGTTCCAACATTGATAATCCAAAGTATAAACACATCAAAAATCAACATAATTAAGTGTCACCTCCAGCAGATCCCACTTCTGCTGGGGGTGAAACTCAAGGTTTAGATTCCAGTCTCCACACCCGGAAACCCACCACATCTGTCACATGAGAGCAAGATCCATCGTGAAAGACTTTTTGGCTGAAAAATTGTAATATATGAACAATGATGAATGAAAAAATGACTGTTAATCTCCAGAAAACCCAACTCTGTCCTCAGTCTTCACTTCTGGGCCAGTTTAAGTGTATTTATCGAATTAAACACTACCTCCAGCAGATCCCACTTCTGCTGGGGGCAATATTCAAGGTGTATCTGTTAGTCTATGCGTCCGAAAACCGTCCCATCTGTCACTTGAGTACAGAGTTCGTCCACCTAGACCCTTTTGCTAACTCAGAAGGAGGTAACACAAGGACCACAACAACCTAGAAAACACCCATCATAATACCAAATATCAAAACAAACCAACACTCGATATCCTCCCTCGTACAACAGGTCTCCAACAAGTAGCATAATCGAAAACAACCAACCTATTCTGCCAAAGAATCATTATTGTCTGTACCCTTACCCAACGTCAGCAAGTGCGAATAAATAGCCCTTGTTTCATCGACATCATTCTTTTTGTTAAGAGAATTAAGATTTTGGCAAGTTTCCACCATCTCGAGGAAAAGCCTCTTTTTAGTGTGACTTTCAGAACACACCACCTTGGTTTGGTTATAGTTAGGAATGTGCCCTGTATCGATGTGATGTTCAGCCAATGCACAAGAACGTTTTTCCAGTCTACAATCACTTTTGTGACTTGTAATTCTATCCTTCAGGACTCTAGATGTAAAACGTGTGTAAAACTAAGAATTTTCTAAAGGGGCACCCCGATCTCTTCGTGACTAGGGCAGATAAAGGAAATGTAACTGTAATCATACTTAAAGAAACATACCTCTCTAAATGTACAGAAATTCTCAACGACAACAAATATTACTTAAAGCTTAGAACGGATCCTACATCAGCATTTCAGCAAAGGGCGAATAAATTGGCAACTCAGTTGAAAAAGGGTAAGTTTGTGGATGAGGAAGTTACCAAGTCATTAACAATTTACAATCAAACATCTCCAAAATTTTACGGGCTTCCAAAAATCCATAAACCAACACTTTCTTTCAGACCAATAATCTCTTCAATTAATGCACCCAATAGCAAATTGTCAATTCTGGTAACCGATATCCTTACCAATACGTACTCGAGGGACAATGAATACTATATAAGGGACTCTTTTGAGTTCGCAGAATTCATTAATGGTAAACAG